TTGCATACTAAAGCCTGTCCACATGTACTTAAACTTTTTGCTCATCACTATGTACAGGAACTGGGCTCCTCGCCGCCTCCTCGTGCTCTTCCTCCTTTTCTGCTCTAAATCTCCCCCTTTATTTCTATCCCTCTCTGCAACTACTTCTGAGTTTGTTTTCCATTCCTAAATCATTGAAAACTCTAATCTTTTTGTGGGGAAGATGTCGGGAAAAGGCAAAAGGTCTGATTACGTCCTCATCTCTAAACACCAAAATGGAGAAGAAACCTGTCTCTCGCTCTTCCGGAGCAGGATTACAGTTCCCTGTTGGTTGTATTGATCGTCTCTTGAAGTCCAAGATTGCAGCTAATGGAAGAATAGGGGCAACAACTGCTATGTACTGTACAATTGGAGTATCTTACTACAACTAACCCATATCAGAATTCTTCAAGGGGTCAAAAAGCTTCAGTGGATCAATCTCTCTCTGTCTCTCTACTATTTAGAAGTGTCAATTGGACGGATTTGCTCCAACCCGATCTAGTCCAATGTGAGTCCACTTATAAATGGACTAGACCCAATACAGTCTAAATCCAATACAAACCAAATCTAATCCAATCCATTAAAATGTAAATGGATTGGAATAATCCAATTCAAACCGAATGAAATATAAAAAATTATATAAAAGCACTTTTAGTATTGAAAAAAAACTTTTGTAAAGTACTTAGATAAAAATATTTTCATAAAAGTGCTTTTACAAAAGTTCTATTATAAAAGTACTTTTATAAAAGCACTTCCGTAAAAGAACTTTTCGAAAAGTACTTCCAGACTTGTAAAAGTACTTTCGTGTAAAAGTGTTTTTATAAAAGTACTTCCGAAAAGTGCTTTTATAAAAGTACTTAAAAGTACTTTTATAAAAGTAATTTTGTAAAAGCACTTTTTGAAAAGTACTCCCATAGACTTTTATAAAAGTACTTTGTAGAAGCGATTTTGTAAAAGTACCTTTAATAAATGTACTTTTGTAAAAGTGCTTTCGTAGAAGTACTTTTGTAAAAGTGCTTTCGTAGTACTTTTATAAAAGTACTTTCATAGAAGTGTAGAAGTACTTTTATAAAAGTACTTTCATAGAAGTGTTTTTATAAAAGTACTTTTGTAAAAGTGTTTTCCTAAAAGTTCTTTCATAAAAGTGATTTTCTAAAAGTGCTTCCATAAAAGTGCTTTCGTAAAAGTGCTTTTATAAAAGTACTTCTATAAAAATGCTTTCATAAAAGTACTTCCATAAAAGTTTTTTTTTTTGTAAAAGTGATTTCATAAAAGTTCTTTCATGTAAAAGTACTTTTTACAAAAGTGCTTTCATAAAAGTACTTTTGTAAAAGTGCTTTAATATTAAAGTGATTTTGTAAAAGTGCTTTTATAAAACTACTTCTGTAAAAGTGCTTTCATAAAAGTACTTTTGTAAAAATGCTTTTGTAATGTATTTTTATAAAAGTGCTTTCGTAAAAATACATTTCATAAAAGTACTTTTATTAAAGTGATTTTATAAAAATATTTTCAAAAAAGTGCTCTCGCAAAAGTACTTTCATAGAAGTGATTTTGTTCTGTTTTCAGTTTTGGTTGATTTCAAATTGAACAAAGGTTTGGCCTCATGATTGGATTATTGGAAATTTGGTTTAGGTCTATTTCAAACCAATAAGAATATGGACCAATTTCTTTAGGATTGGCCCAATCTAATAATTATAATGGACCATCCAAAAGCAATTTGATAAGGTTTGGATCGGATTGGATCCAAACCAAAACTGACCAATTGACACCCCTACTGCTATTTATTGAGCTCGGATGGATAAAAGCTTGCGCTTCACTAGCTAAGATCCACAAGGTGAGTTCAAAATTTGAACAAATACAAGCTCTTTCAAGGTGGTGTCATAGGTGATGTATGGAGCTATTGTGTCCGGCGATGTGTATGTGCTAGGGGCTATTATGCTCTTTGAGGCCATAGATGAATACCGTTGTCGCAGATGCGGTCTCTGGTGATCCACCCAGGAAGATCAACAATGGCTTCAACAAGATTTATATCACTGCTAGTGGAATCCCAGTTGCTCAACAAAGAGCTTCTACAAAATTTCCCCTTTTATATTGTTCATTGTTAGCCCTTTTCACCTCCTCTGGATCCGAGCTCGCCATGAGTCGTTTCATCGCCATTGATTCTCTCTCACCATCCCCTTCGTTCTCTCTCTCTCTCTCTCTCTCTCTCTCCTCCTGTTCCTTCGTTCTCTCTCGTGCTTGTTTCATGACTGCTTTGCAACAACGACTGAGCTCTCCAGTAGCAGTCTTGTAACATGTAATGGCCTCCCTTGGGTTCATTATGCTAATAGTGGTTGGATACAGACGACAACAGTGGTGGCGACGGTAGCGAAGGGACAGAGAGTGGAACGGTTGCGGAGTAGTTAACTATAAATGTCGCCAAGGAGAGACATGGTGAAGAAGAAGGGAGAGGGACGAAGGGCACAATTGGGTTTTAAAGAAAATTTATACAACGTGTGTATGAATTTCGATGGAACATTAATGGAATATTAATTTCGATGGAACAATTGGGTTTTAAAGAACATTAATGGTAGGGGTAGAGATAGTCAATTATCAAAAACTGTAAATGTGATATTTTGTAAATGTAAAATCAACCTATCTTTATAATCAATTGTACAGGCTCTTTAATGGATATGCAAAAAGAACTCTAGTGCATAATCATCAATTACACATTCTACAGAGAATAATGATGTTAGAATTGATTTAGATGAAGATGATGACATTCTTGTAAGTTTAATGTGTATAATGTAATTTAATTCCTTTATATTTCATTATATTTATAATTTTTAAGACTTATGACTATTGATTTTTTATGTAAGAATTTAATTAATTATTTTGAGAAAGAGCAATTAAATTCAAATAAGTCAGAACTAGATGTATATTTAGATAAATATAGACTTGATCACAAGCAACAATTGCTCGGTGGGAAACTTGAGGGTGAGGTGGTAGGAGGAGATGGCTGCCTTGAACGCGTGGAGGGTCGGCCTCCCCATAATGGCGTTGTAGGGGGAGCCAATCCTCATGACTAGGAACTCAATCGTCAGGCGAGGTGATCCAAATGGTCGAGGACCGCTTGGAGTTGTTCATGAGTGACCAGATTCTAGGTGTTCCTCGTGTTTTGTATCATGTTGGCTGAAGATTAGGGGCGTTCTTTTGAATTTAAGGTAAGTTGAGGGATGTCTTAGCGACGTTTCCCATAGACAATGCCAATTGTTGATGCTCAGATTGGCTGAGGACAACACTGTCGATTCACTCTCTAAGCTTGAATGGGACCGAGGTGTCTAAGGGACGAGGACCGAGGTAACCGAGGAGTGGAACCCAAGGTGGATGGGGCCTGAGGCCCGAAGTACGAGTTCGGAGTTCGAGCTCTACTACTACCGAGGACCGAGATATCGGTTCTACAAGGACGAAAGAGTGTCAAAGGCTTTGGGTGGAGACCCGAGGTGAGGACTTCGATGATCAAGTTAGTACCGAGGTGTGGAGTGGACGAGGTCTGAGGTGTGAGCATCCAGACGAGGTCACTAGAAAGCAATATCTCAAGTGCTAGTGAGAAAGCTCAAGTATTCGATCCTTTACTTGAAGGAAGGGTCACCTCATATTTGTACTTAAATCCGCCTGGAGGTAGGTGAGTTTGGATAGTAGGGATTTAGTTCATACGTGGGGGGTGTGGCCATCCTAAGCCACCAAATGGCCCTGCACTGGCCCCCCAAGACCCGTCGAGCCGAATTGGATAGTGTGCATTAATTGATTATTTCCACTCTGACCCATGCCACCAGAAACGTGAGTCTTGCGATTGGGCAGAAGCATCCACGCCTACATCAAATACTATTTGAAGACTGCCCATGAACTCAACACGTGCCATGTTTACCAAGTCTGGCTCTGGAACGGGAAGCGCTAAAGTCCGCAGTAGAGTTTTTGGTAGGGGTGACTCCCTCCCCGCCCCACTTTATCTCTCTCTGTTCCTAGAGAGGTTTTCTCTCTTGTTCTCTCAAGGTTTGTCTCTCTTTGTTTCCAGAGAGGTTTTCATCTGCTCTGTGTTTTTCCCCTCTCTTTGTTTCTCCCTTTTTTGGTGTTTTTCCCCCTTCTCTCTCTCGACCTCTCTGTTTCCCCTCTTTTATGTCTTCCTCTCTCTCTCTCTCTCTCTCTCTCTCTCTCGAGATCTCTCTAGATCTCTCGAGGATCATCCCTTTCTTTCTCTGTTTCTCTCATCTTCTTTGTTTTTCTTTGTTTGCTTTCTTTCCGCGGGCATTCTGATGTCCTAGTTGACCGAGACAGTGCTAGATGGCCGAGATAGTGCTCAAACGATAAGTTTCTCCGACGTCCTAGATGGTTGTGATGTGCTCCAATGTCCTGGTTGGTAGTTTCAGTTATCCAGCTTTTTGGATGGCAGTTACAGTTTTCCGACATTGTGTATGGACATTCCATTCTCCGACATTGTGGTTGGACGTTACAGTTCTCTGACTTTCTTTGGAAGACAACTTGCAGTTGGCAGTTCTTCGGTTGAATGGCAGTTACAGATGATGCGTCTTCTACAGTTTTTTGGCATAGTTGGAAGTTATAGTTCTTGGCTTGTGGCTATGTAACCTCCTCTGTCAGTTTTTAATTTGGTTGGTAACTCCTATTATCAGTTTGCTTGCCAGTTATGGTGGTTTGGAAATATTTTTATCCACTTCTATTGGTGAAGTTAACTTACCTTGCTCGCGAATTATGGTTGTTTGGTTGCAGAAGTTATTCTGATTCTACTAAATTTCATCCATTTGTTTTGTTCTTCTTGAGAATGTATATTGGTTTTTATTTGGCCTGGTTGGCATCTCTTTGTACCAATCTCGAATGAAACAAACCTTAAAAAAAAATGTCTGGCTCTATAACTGGAATTTATAATATATTATATTCATATTCATCAGCTACTTTATTTAATTTTCATGATAACGAAATATACAAGCTCAACTGCCCTCTTTCGATTGAGCCAGCAACTGAAAAATGAAATCTTTTATTATCACAAGTAGGGCCTGAGCCTTGTCTGGTTCATAGAGCTCCACCAGATGGTAACCTTCCTCGTCGAACTGAGCCAAAACGTTTACACCCTCTCCGTCCAGCATCTTCACGAACTCCGTCTGACGGTCGATCAGGGGATCCCCACCGCAGGTAGTCACCAGACACCTCCCTAGCAACCCAATTCCATGGCAGCTCTCACCAAGTTTCAGTGGGTTGCAGTAACCATGATCACGATCAGAACCTACAGGCAACGCCAGGTCCCAGATCAAGTCGCTAACTGACATGGGAAATCTCGGATTGTTGAACAATCTCATCTCCGATTCTGTTCTCTGCAACCCACCAAAGAAAGGGTGGTGCATGATAAGACCGACGATCTTCAGGGGCTCATCGGCAGCATCCGAAAACATGGAAGGCAATGCTGGCGCCTGAGCTGCTGCCCATGAGATAGCACCGAGAGAAATCAACTGAGTCTCTGCTCAACCAGTCCTCTTCGCCATTGACGATGCTCTGCGAGGCGTGTTTCCTAACCCAGTGCAACGCTTCGATTGCATCATCATAAGCCTCTGGGAGGCGCTTTCGAGAGCGAGGCGGTGCTCGACGGAGACGATCAAGGCAGGCAGTTGAATGGCCATGTTTGAGCAGAAGTCGTGATAGATTGTAGAGGCTGCGCTCCAGAGGATGAAGCCACCGCCATGGAAGTAAAACATGAGAGGGAGCTTGAAGGAGGAGGTGTGAGGTCGGAATATTCGGACCCAAGTTTTGTTGACGGTGTTTAGTGGTATGTCTTTGGAAAGAACTAGGGTGTGGAACTTTTGATCGGCGGTGTCATCAGTTGCAGCGGTGGTGGGGAGATGGTTGAGTCGTGTGAGCGTGTCATCCGAGTTGTGGACGATCCGTAGACGCTTGTGTAAGGGTTAATGATCTGATGTTCTGCCATACGGATACTGAGTAGAGTCTCAGGCTCTCAGCTCACCCACCGATCGAGTTTGCAGGAAACAGTAATGTATGCATGGAGTTCATACTTCTTAAATAAATACAGCCAGAGAATTCTTGAGGTTCAAGTCATAAAGATCAGAATTAAATATAAGATGAGTTGTTGATTTAAAATAGAAATTGAGTGTAATTTGATATTATTGAGCTAAGATAACTTCATTAATTAAACCGGTGCTCATAACAAAGAGCAAGCTTTGATTTGTATGCATGGTTCCTGTTTTACTGCTTTAGGGGTAATAGCATATGAGGGCAACTTTTGGGGTTTAATTTTAAAAATAGGTTAATTTTTTTAAAATAATATGAATAAGAGGCAAAAATACTATTCATCATCTTTTTCTTATCATTTGTTCACTAGCATTGCCGTCCATTGCCACCCGCCGCTGCCTCCGCCCATCTTCCCCTTCACTTCTGGAAACATTGCCGGAAGTGGCTGGAGGCAGAGGTGGCGGCGGCAGCGTTGTTGGTCATCCCTCTACCCAGAGCCACCGCCGCCACCTCTGTCTCCACCCACCTCCTGCAGCATTGTCGAAGGCGGAGACGGAGGTGGGCGGAAGTGGTGGCATTGGGCAGAGGAATGACCACGAGCGCCGCCGCCACCACCTCTGCCTCCGGCCACCTTCGAGAACATTGTCGGAGGTGGAGGCGGCAGCAGATGGTGGTGGTTGGCGGCGGCGCTGGTGAAGAAATGACAAAAAGAAGATGATGAAGAGTGTTTTTGCCCTTTATTGATATTATTTTAAGAAAATTAACCTATTTTTAAAAATATTATTTTTTTTGATATTAAACCCCAAAAATTGCCTTATATGCTATTATCCCTTTTATTTAAGGGTAAAATACAAAAACCTCGCCTGAAGTATCTGACAATCATAGAAAACCTCCCTTATAGTTTCATTTTATCAAAAATCTCCTCACTATTTTTTAAAAAATTTGACAAAAACCTACCTTCCATCAATTATTTTACCCTTTTACAAATTAATTTGCATCTGTTTTTATTAAAATACGCCTATCGACATATTGTCATCTTTCCCTTTTCCGTCGTCGTCCACCACGGCCACTGTGGATGTTTGCTAACTGGAGATCAAGTCCACAGTAGAGTAGGCCGGGTTGTGGTATCCGATGGCTAGGATTTCAGTGCTGATGATTTCGACGGACAGCACCGTGATGGGCGAGAAGAGACCGATGGAGCTGAGGAGGAATCGAATCACGTTCTGATCTTTGGTGTCTCGATCATTGTCCCTGCTATCATTGTCTTCAACGTTTTGGTTGGAAGCGTTAGGATTGGCAGTACTGTTGCTACCGAAGTACCGATGCTATTGGTGGTAGTAGCGAGGTCCATAAGCTCTTGCTCTCTCCTAAGACCGAGTCGCCCCAATCCACCATGGTCATCGTCTGTGTTTCTGAGTTGAAGGGACGGGATCGACAGCACCGGGTTGACTCCTCCCAACCCCACATTTCCGACCCACCACCGATTTTCCAGGGCTACTTCTTGGGAGAAACCCTTATTATTTGGTAGAGAAAAATGCAAACTGAAAGAAGGAAAAAGGAGATTAATAACAAACCCTCTTTAGATTAATAACAAACTGAAAGTGTCGCTCCGCCTTTGTCGTGGACTGAGACCGACCGGGAGATACCCGAATGAGAAGATGTAGAGTCCTCTTTGTTGTTTTTTTTTTTTTTTTTTTCTTTCTTTCCTTTTTCTGGTTGTTGGACATGAAAATGGAAGATTTTGTTGATGAAGAAAACCCAACCTAGAAGATAAAAGTCCAAAACTTTATTTGTTGTCTGTCAACCAAAGCCAGTCGCCGAACTGCTTCCAACAATCACACCACCCAGCAAATTATGATGGTGAAGGAATCTGAAGTTCTGCTACCCACATGGGTTTTTTTCTCCTTTACTTCTGCATGAAACCCTAACTGATAGATTTGCAATTGAAGGTTGATACATAAGATCCTGAAATAATATAAAGAGCAAGCTCCAACTCCTAATAACCAGAGAATGCAACCATCTCACATCATACCGTTTGAAATCATAGAAACCGAAGAAGGTTAGCTTGTACTTCATCCACCATCAAGTGAAAGCATGAAAACCCCACTGTTGTAACTGCTTCAAGGACGAGATCTCTGTGATCTCACTCTCTCTTGGAATGTATAATGTGTAGTTACAATTTTTGCTGCTGCGGATACGTTTGTAGCTGAGATAGTTCTTGCCTGAGCTCTTGAGCACCGACAATGCGTGGTCAATAGTGGCAAAGATCGAGAGAGACTTCAGCGCCGGTTTTCCAAGGCAGAGGTCGAGACTCCAACTGTTAGATAATATGTCCACGGGCGTATGTCGATGGAAAAGGGATGATAATATATCGACAAGCGTATTTTAATAAAAACATATGTAAATTAATTTGTAAAAGAATAAAATAGGTAGTTGGAAAGATTTGATATCGGTTTAACGTTTTCTGTCATGGTTATTAACGAAAGGGAGGTTTTTGTCTAAAATTTTAAAAATAGCTGAGAGATTTTTGTTAAAGTGAAATTATAGGAGAGACTTTTATGATTTTCAGAAAATTCAGAGGTGATTTTTGTATTTTACCCTTTATTTAAACTTAGGTGAGGATTTGATTAATAATAACGCATCCATCAACAGTGATTACATCAAAGTTCCTTTTTCTTCTCTCTCCTACCTAGTAATTTCCTCCTATCAAACAATTCTCAAGCAAACCCCTTTGTCTCAACAAAAACAATAATTTAATAAAAAAACAAAAAACAATAATTCAAGAGCGGTCAAAAAGAGTAATAAATAAACAAAGATTTGGTCTAAATTCTAATCTACATTTAACAAGTACGGATTAATCGAATGCTGTTGAGCAAGCTGTGAAACCAATAATAATTCTTTCAATCGATTTTATGTATTTTATTACTGGTGTGAGACATTACCATTGGTTCCACAGCCCTGATCCGAATTTACATTTGACTCGGTTCATAATATAAGATGCGGCAATCAGATTTATTAAAAAATATCATATTTTGATATAAAGTATAATGTAGGCCGTGTTGGGTTGGCCTGGCCCGCGACCCCATGAGTCTGTGTTGGGTCGAACTGGCCCACGTGTTCAAACCATGGCTTAACCCGGCCAGGTGGGCCGTACTCGACATGACATGGCACTGTGCATGTGGGCCATTACAGGCCAGACAGGCCTGTTTTGCAATTATATGCTTTGATGATTTTGGCTGATGGAAACAATTAAAGGAAGTTAGGCAGAGTAACCAATAAAACGAATCCGGAAGTTAGGCAGTGTGTTGAAGTGTTATATACCTAATTAAAGGAAGTTAGGCACTGCAGTCATATATGGAGAGCATTTCATCTTACTTTGTATATAGTATTATATACGGGGAGATGTTGTTAATGCACGAGATAGTGTGTTGTGTGAAAATGTGGGTAGGAGATCCGGAGTCCGTTAAAACATTCTCTTGGTTAAATTTAATATTGTGGTATAGGAAAAGCCAATAGCCAAAACTTGGCAATTCGGATCTCTAACCCACAAGAATCTCATACCTAGCCACAGGACATTACTATTGTACATCGGTAACATCTCCCCATGAATGGTAATATATAAATACATGAGATATACATAATGTGCAGCTGTAGTGGTATATAGATAGGGCTCTTGTGGGTAGGAGATCCGAATAAAAAACTTGGTGCTTGTGTCAGATTTGAATGGTCCATAGGCTGATACATGCATCCTCTCACCAAAGGCTCTGTTTAGGGATGGCAACAGGGTGGGTCTGGGGAGGGTTTTATAAATTCTAGGCCCTACCTACCTCCCTAAACCTCCCAACCATACCCACCCCAAAACCCGTAGGGGGTTGGATTTTGAGAGTCTAAACCTTCCTCGCATATGAAAATGCAAAACCCTCCCTGACCTACTCTCCATGCATTCAAGGATAGGGGCAGGTTGGGTTTAGAATCTGCATCTAATTTCCTATTATTTCTCTTTATATATAAGCAATAAATAAGTAAAATAATACAAATAAACAACAAAATTCCAATTATTTGATTAATATAAAAAACACATAAACTATCAATTATTCTTCACATAAAATTCAACACCTAATACATAAAATTTATATGCTTTCCAACAATATAAGGGTTAGGGAGGGTTGGGTTTAGCCACCATATCTTACTCATACCCATATGGTTTGTAGAATCCCAAAACTCATCATCGCCCCTGAAACCCATCCTTCAAGCAAAAAAAAACCACCCCATCGAGGTGAATACCCACCAGGTATGGTAAAAATTGCCATCCCTACCTCTGTTGTATTTATTATTATTATTTTTGTGTATGTAATAAATGTATGAGCAACACAACAATAGTAAAGCCATGGAAGGAGGCCTAAGGCCTACATTGTAATGGGGCTAAGGGCAAGGACAATCAAAAGATAATTGAAGAAAGATTTCAATTCTAAGAGACAAATTGGAAGCGGATTTCAAATCTTGAGACTTGTAAACCGAACCCATTTTTTCCCTAATTAAATCACGGGCTGAAATGGACTTAATGGTTGAACCAGATCTCAGCTTGAATCCAAATTGAAGGACAACAAAAGGTTATATGCAAGTAAATTTTAAAAACCTCTGCTTTCTTGTCGAT